TGCCCCTTCAGGGGAACCCCACTTTTCTCCTTTTCCATGACACCCTCAACCTTTACAATAAAGCAAGGTTGAAAACCTCTTGGTTCCCAAAAGTTTTCGGAATGCCAAGATCTCTAAAATCATTTTAGCCACTGAAAAAACCCCTTCCTGGCCAAACCCTCTATAAGTTACCTGATTGTCTGCCTTTTGGGGCCAAAAAAAAAAACCAAAAAAAAAAACCAAGAAAATCCTACCTGTTCTATCATGGCAGCTGTCCTTGGAACTCATTTTTTTCTTCCTGGATTTCCTCCCACCTGAATTGGCCTCTGATTCTGTGGATAAAATGAGAATTTGAGTGAGTGCCTCCACCTGAACACCTTAGAAGCCTTAGTCCATCCTGGACACACAGGAGCTGAGGTTTTCACCAAAACTTGATTCTTATTTATTCTCCTGAGTCCAGGATTGGAGAGGCTTCCAGTTTCCTTCCCAGGGGAGACTGTGTTAACTCGTTCCCTGTCCCTTCTCACCTGGAAAGCATCAAATCTTACCTGATCTAGCAATGATGTTTCTGGCTTTGGGCTTAGTTTCCTTGGAATTCTCCTCCTCATTTGGCTTGGGCTCTGATTCTAGTGTAAAAGAGAGTTTAAGTGACTCATCTCTCCCTTGGCAAAAAGCACCATAGTCTCCCTCTGACCCATATTTGTGAGTCATTCTCTTAACTGAGGCTGTTAAGCCAGTGTCAAGAGGCTGAATAGGAAGATTCCAGGGGCTGGGTGTGGTGTCTGATGCCTGTAATCCTAGCACTCCGGGAGGCTGAGGCAGGTGGATTGTTTGAGTTCAGGAGTTCAAGACCCGCCTGAGCACGAGTGAGACCCCATCTATACTAAAAATAGAAAGAAATTAGCTGAACAACTAAAAATATGTAGAAAAAACTTGCCGGGCATGGTGGTGCATGCCTGTAGTCCCAGCTACTCAGGAGGTTGAGGCAGGAGGATCGCTTGAGCCCAGGAGTGGGGTTGCTGTGAGCTAGGCTGATGCCATGGCACTCTAGCCTAGGCAACAAAGTGAGACTCTGTCTCAAAAAAAATGAGTGAATAGGAAGAATTCTCTTCCATGGGATCATTGACACATTCTCAAAACCCCCTGAGGGCGATAAGCCATTGCTAATCCCCAAACTCAAAATGAAACCCTACCAAAGATACACTCAGTATCCCTTACTCCACCCCTCCTTCCAGCCTCCATGTGAACAGCCCAAAGCCTTACCTTGCCCCAGGCGTGGTTCTTACTGAAATTGGCAGAGAGTGTCTTGCCTTTTTCTTCAAATGTTTTCACCTCCTCATCTGAGTCTCCATCAATACAGGAAATCTGTTTGAAAGGGGGCTGATCAGT